TATTTCTGGGCAGTATATGGCACTTTTTTCTCATATACCATTGGGCAGCTTTGATCAGGGCTAGGTAAGGGACATCAAGTGTAATCCTACCATGTGCTTTTAAGGTGGAGAGCTGAAAATATTCAGTGAGCAGCCCTAATTACACCATTGCACACTTAATGTGCCCTATAGAAAGACATCTCTTGTCTCTCTGGCCCTGTCGCTTTCCCTAGAACATCTTACTAAGTCATGCCCCTTCGATTTCCTCATTCTTATTCCCTTGCTCCTGCAAAAACCGAGGAACTTGTCAATTATGGCAATTTTTGTACATATTGCAGTCTGTATTGTTTAATGCAAGATTGTGGTCTTTTTTGCTCAGTTTGAATTCTTTCTACCCCTTTGGTGTTCTTGCAGTTGTATGCTGTAGTGAGGGACAAATATATTAACTTAGAATAATTTTGTTTCAATAAAATTCTCTTTTTTTTTTTAACTTTTCCTACCCTCCTGTGCTGTTTACTGTTATGGTAATAGAATGGCTATAATTCTGTGATCCTTTGACCATAACAAGGAGATTAAATGATTCGCTTAAGGGTATGTAACTAGGTAGTATTAAAGGAGCCTGAACTAGAACTCATGTTTTCTGACTCATAGTCTGTTTTATATTTATTATGCCACTTCCTATTATTTAAAAATTTGTATAACTGACAGCAGTGTAATTTACTCTCAGAGACAATTGGTGACAACAGAATCTGGTCTTTAATCTTGAATAGAAGGAATTTTCCATTTAAATACCTCCTTTTAAATGATGAATGCCATGTAATAAAATCAGATTCTTGGGATTCCTATGCCAACAAGTGTCTATTCTTGCTTAAAGCAAATAAATAACTGGCCCTGAATGAATCAATAACATAATCCTATCTATAAGACTCAAATAAATAAGAACTTTCACCACCCCTGCTGTAGCTCAATCTAAAATAAGGCATTGTATATATTGTATTATTGTAGGTTTGTTTCTTACTAGTATTTAGAATGTTACGCAATGTTCCAGGAATAAAATTTAAAATGAAATCAATACCTTGGTGATAGCATTATGCTTACACTATGTCAACCTGCCTCAGTTTGGAGTTATATTTTATATGACATGCTGTGAGTTCTTCTCATATATAGTTTACTATAAAGATCTACAATAATTTTTCCTGTCTTAAGCAAATTTTCTATTAGTAAAGGCTTAAGAGAAGGCCAATGAGATTATCACTAAAGATCAGAAATGACAAGGGCAGCATCTTGTATAAAAACAAAATCTTAATATATAGACACAGAGTTATTGTCAACATATCAACCAAATGTAACACGGGTGGTCCAGAGTATCTGCAGGTGCCACAAATCTTTGCCAAGATCCATTGGACGTGTACATCATCGAGTTTCTTTACGGATTCAATAATATAAATTGTAGATTAAGAATAAGGAGACTTGTCAAAGAATGCCACACAGAAACTATTAGAATGATGCTCTGAATTGTGTCAATAATTTGTTCTATGTCATCAGGTGATCTTCACTACTCTTCTGACACTAAAATCTAGGATTATTACTGTATGTAGAAGCACAAAGCTACATATCTGAGGACACTGGCCATTAGTGCAAAGTCAAAGCCAGTTTTACTTATGGCATATCTGTGATGATAGAGACATTTTTCATAATATTTTCTTACAGAGTTCTTTCTTGCAGTTATTTAAGTATCAGACTGATTTTTTTCTCATGGAAAATTTTGTACAAAACGAAGCAGAGTAAACAGTGTTCCTATCACTGAGCTTCGACCGTTATCAACTTGTGGCCGATCTGCTATGAGACCTTTATGAAGATTATCATCATAATTTGCATTTCATGTCTGTGAACTGTTTTTTAATGATTTTTCACTTTCTAGGGCAACCACAGGTATAAATGTTAAGATTTTACATAAGGAAAGGGAATTTATTTAAAGAACTTGAAAATAATATCCAAAATATTCACTCTATTAGCATAGCTCAACCACAGATATCAACCAATTTCCTAATATATTCTTACAGGCAGTCAGCCAACATCTGTCTATTAACACCTATTTGTTATATCAAATCACTTAGAAGCTAGAAAAACACCATTGCTTCTCATACTATAGTCTGTAACATTTGAATGTCTGCAAATGTGTTCTTCGGGATCTAACATTTCTTAGATTTAAGAAACATTGTTTTAATATCAACCTGGTAACACTCTTTTTGAGTGTTCACTCTTTTTTTTTTTTCTTTGGGAAGGAGTTTCGCTCTTGTTACCCAGGCTGGAGTGCAATGGCGCGATCTCGGCTCACCGCAACCTCCGCCTCCTGGGTTCAGGCAATTCTCCTGCCTCAACCTCCTGAGTAGCTGGGATTGCAGGCACGCGCCACCATGCCCAGCTATTTTTTTTTATTTTGAGTAGAGACGGGGTTTCACCGTGTTGACCAGGATGGTCTCGATCTCTTGACCTCGTGATCCACCCACCTCGGCCTCTCAAAGTGCTGGGATTACAGGCTTGAGCCACCGCGCCCGGCCTGAGTGTTCACTCTTATACTCAGGTTGAATTCTTTTACCAGCACTTGCTTTTGAAAATGTCAATACATCATCAAAACATTTCTATAATATGATTTAACTTTCTTGTGTCAGTGTTTCTCAAATAGGTTAATAAATCTGTTCTGGAGTTCCTCAGAGTTCTCTTAATGATGACAAATACCACTTTAAGGGAAGAATGTAGAATATTTGATAATTTTGTGAAACAAAATACCTGTATGGTATAGAAACCTGTTTCCAAATCTAGGTAGAATGCTGTGCTGGGTTTTCATACTACATAAGTAAAACAATATTCTCTATATATTTGTCTTAATAAGCATTGAAATTTACAACAATTTATTTTTGTCGTGCAGAGCTAAACATTAAAAATTATACCTATATTACACAGAACAATAATTTGGTAGAAAGAAGGATCCAGTCTACTGATAAACAGGTTATTCAGTGGCAGTCAGAGGCTTCTAAACTGGCTTCAGAATAGAAACTTACTAATGCTTTCAGTTCTTACTCCAGAACTGTGAAAGAACAAGACCATAGTTCAAACCATTCTATGTAGATTAATTACTACTGCTATTAATATGATAACAGTGACAACAGGATGATGATAATACTATGTGCTAGTCACTGTACTAAGAACCTTATTTACATTTTTTACTTCATCCTCACAGCAACCCAAAGGCAGTACGGTGGTAGGTTTCCCCTTCATGTGTGCTTGTGGTGCTGCTGATATCAGGCAATGTGCTTTGGGGGAAGTTCCTGGACTTTATCTGCTTGCAGTTCATATGGGCAATTTCTCCTTTCCCATCTTGCAGTGGGTTGCTACTGCTATAATACTCATTCCCATATTGCAGTATGAGTACTTCATCAGTACCTAATATTTGTACACAGTTAACACAGTCTCTTTTACACATGTGATCTCATTTGATCCTGCCAGGAACACAATGAAGTAAGAAAGAAAAATACAGTATTAAGCAAATTTTAGATGAGAAAATGGAGGCTCAAATATTTAATTGATCACGGTGTAAGTCTTCTTCATATTACCGTCTACTACTGTTATATTGAATCTTGACTCCTTTTAAGTGCGAAAAGTACAGTAATCTTTGTTTATCAATTAATAGGGAGACAGATCCTAATCCTCATTGATTGTGCTCTTCTACACCCAACATATCAGGCACACCATAGGCACTTAATAAATACCGTGACTTGGCTTGTTAGATTTTATACTTAAATGGATAAAGAGCTAAAAGAATACAATAAATTTCATGTAAGTCTTGCAGTAGGTTACTATGTAACTATTTGTTAAGCTGTGTAATTTCTAAATCTTCTTAGGAACTCCCTAATACAGAAGGGCCCCAATATTTTCCTACCAACGATCACACACTGTCTAAAAGTAAACTATTGTAGATACATCCCTTTGGCCACTGATACTACTAGACATTATCCTAAATTCCATTTTTGTCTAGGAAGTACAAGTAATTTCCACGTTAGTGGAAAATATGTTTTTTAAAAAGATTTTTGCTAAGGATTTTACTCAGGTTGTTTTTAAAAATATAAAAGATAGTTTTGGAACAGGGAACACTACTGGGGTGAGTTTTGAAGGAGTGCTTTAACAAACTGTTTATTTTCTACTCTAACAATTATAACTGGTCCTTTTTCAGCATACACCATGTGCCAGACTCTATGCTCTAAATATTATTATTATTCTATTTTGCAAATGAGAATCCTGAGACTCAAAAGTTAAATAATTTGCAGAGGGTCAAAGGCTAGCAAGTGGCAGAACTGAGATATAAACCAATGTCTGACTAAGCCCAAATCTCCTGTTTTTAATGATAAACCTTCACTGCTTTGTCAGTGGGAGTAAGAAGAAGCAGCGAAGAAGAATGGGAAAGAATACACAAATGGTTGCTAGGAAGATACCCACGCCAAACATTTATTTAAGTCACAATGGAGACTACAAATCTGTGGACTCAAGTTCTATAGCAGGTATTTTGGCCTAAATTCTCCTGGAGGTAACCACTTCACTTTCATTCAGCGTTACCAGGTACTTTATTTTTCCTGTACTTACTTGGTTACCCTCTTTGGTCTTCAATGTTGTTGTTTGCCAGGTGAAGCCTGAATAATATATTCAGAGCTCCTTTGTATAAACCTTATCTTCAGTATGCAGCTCAAAATGTGTCATTTATAAATTCTCATCATTTAAGGCTATTAGCAGCGGTGAATAATACATAGTAAGAGTTGCTTTTTGCAACTAGTAAATTGAAAGGTTAATCATTTTTCCAGAGTGAACTTTAAAAAACCAATTTTCACAGGTTGGAATGATGAATGATAAGGGTATTTCCTTTAAACTTGTGTTTAGAGTATATATATATATAAATATATTTATATATAATATATATTTATATTATATATATATTTATATATAATATATATTTATATATTATATATATATATATTATCTGAATTGAACTACTTACTAGTTATATCAGATAGGTAGGCATTATTATATTATACCCATTTTGTAGATGAAAGGGACTGAGGTTTAATGATGTTAAGTAATTAACTGGCTAACAGATAGAATAACCATTTACAAAGTCACAAGTTGAATCAGTTGCTCTTCCCATAATCCTGCATTGTCTGTTCTTCTTGCCCATCCTGTGACCTAGTACATTCCTCTTCCTCTAATACAAGCCTCCTCTGTGAACCAAATAAATAATATAAGCATTAAGTTTTAGAGTAGTCAGCTGGGATGATTGAAGGAAGTCATTTGGGACCAGGGTAAACAGGAAAGTTTTTTTGGAGGAAGTGAAATTTGATTTGTCACATGAAAGAATGGCTTACCAGCTTCCCTCATTCTTCTATAAATAGGTAGGAAAGACATATGCTTTCCTGATTCCAAATTGATTTAGCTATGTATAGATATTTGCTAATAGAGAATGGTGGGTATGTAGAGGATGATATTTATAGATCTTTTAAAAGTATGTTTACATTAAAGGAATTAGTTGAAGAGAAGAGAAATCCTACTTATCTGCCAAGATACTTTCAAATTGAACTACCTCCACAAATTGTACTATGACTGCTCTGTCCTCCATTAATCTTACTTTTCTCTGAAATCCTCTAATAACTATAGTGTAGACTAGCTGTTACGAACTGGTAATCCATGGTCCTAATATGGTTCAAAGACATGTTTTGTTTTTACCAGTGAAACATGGTGAATGCTAGGAGTTGGATTTTTTTTTTCTTTTTTTCTTTTTGTTTTTGAGATAGGATCTTACTCCGTTGCCAAGGCTGGAGTGTAATGGCACAACCACGGTTCACTGCAGCCTCGACTTTCCAGGCCCAAGTGATCCTCCCACCTCAGCCTCCCGAGTGGCTAGGTCTACAGGTGTGCACCACCATGCTCAGCATTTTTTTTTAATAGAGAGACAGGGTCTTGCTGTGCTGCCAGGGCTGGTCTCAAACTCCTGGACTCAAGTGATCCTTCCACCTCCACCTCCCAAACTGCTGGGATTACAGGCATGAGCCACCACACCCAGCCAGGGATAGGACTTTGTTTATTTTTTTAGAGAGAGGAGCAGGATTCTGAACCCACAGACTTGCCATAACCCCTCAACAAGGCTGTCTAGATGTTTTGGTATGGTGAAATATGACCATATTAGGAGATTTAGGTTTCAACACTTCATAGCCAAGGACATGTGGGGTCCATTGAGCAAAATGACTCTCTTCTTCCTCAACACTTATGTAGAATACACTTAGGAATGGTCTCAGCATTTGCATCTCCCCAATTGGAGACAGAAAGTACAAAATGGCATCAAGCTTTCTGAGAGTTAAGATCACTGCCCTATTATATTTATTTCTGCCTCAGAGCATTTTCCTATGAAATTGATTAAAGTCTTTTAGTTAACAGGCAGATTGAATATAATGTTTTCCTGCTTAACCTATTAGTCACTGACTACTGAGCATAACTCAGAGGTTTGATTAGAGAGTTCCATTAAAAACCGTCATACACTGCACTTTCCATGTCTCTATGAATTTCGCTTTGCTCTCTACAGTGGCTGTAGACTTAACCCTCAACCCATGCATTTTGTAACAGATGACAGGAGGAGAGAATAAAACCTTTAATTAGTGTCTCTTGAGGATGTCATGGTTCTGAAAAGCTCTGCACAGTTGAGAACCGCCAGATATTATCCACACCGTGTCTGAAAACCAATAGTAATAGATGTTTAACTCCTACATTGCCATCAATCTTTGTGACCCTCCAGAGTGCCATGGACCAAGGCTGGGAAACCAGTTCTGACTAGACTGTCTAAAAGCTAGGCAAGCCCAGCACATCCTATTTCCAGCAAAACAGTGGAAATGGACTGAATACTGCTAGAAGCATGGAAATGCTTCTGATGACCTGTCAGGTTTTCTTTTCCTTTGAGGGTCCTAAAGAACGTGCTGAATCACTCAGATGATCTGGAATGACACTAGCCACAAGTGTTATGATTAACTCTGTAAGCCAGACAATCTATTGGCTCAATTCTATCCAAGAGGTTCTTTTCATTCTTTTAAAATACGTTACGATTAAATCTATCATCTTATACTTGAATTGCAGCATCAGTACTCTCATTTGGAGATTCATTCTTTTGTAGCTTAATTTTGTGTGGGACTGTGATGCTAAGTCTCTAGCACCACATAAAGCCTTTTTACTTTATATTACTTTAACTAGTGTAGCAATCCTGCCATGTGCCTTTAAGAATACTAAACATTAAGGGTCCATAACCTACTCTTCCAAATTCCACAGTAAGGTATTACCAACCTTGAGCTTTCTTCAAACAAGAGCAAATGATATAGACTGTAGAGCAATGACTAACAAGACCTTTTGAAAGAAATTCACTTCCTTACCTTTGATTGGCATGCATATTCCAAATCAATTACGCGGGACTCCAGGCTGTGTTGTTTTTCGTGTGTGTTTTCCAAAATTTTGTTGAATTAGCTGGAATTTGAAATTAAATTTGTTTTCACCTGGGTCAGGAAAATGCCTTTGTTACGCAGTGATTGTTCAGCTGGCAGCTGTGTACCTACTTGGTTCATTATACACTGGCTGTCAGAATCCTACCTTTCCCATGTTAACTAGGCTCCCTCTTCATTCAGTGAAGTTGGTGACTGAGGTGGTTGGGTACCGGAAGGCAACAGGAGAAACAAAGACATTCAGTGATTTTGTCAAGTTAGTGAGGGCATCAGTAGAGTGGAGTGATAGCTTTACAGACCTCCTACAAACAGAAAATGCCCCCTGAAATGACATATGTTGACAACGATGCACCCTTACCTCTCACCTACATGCCTTCATTCTTTATGAATTTATGGCAGTCATAGATTTAGTAGCGTGCTTCTTTGCACAATAAGTTTAGACATGTTAAGTATGAGAGACTATCTGTTCAAATTTCCAGTGAGAGGGATATAGGAACTCCGGCCAGTGAACTATACTGATATATCAAATATTTCTGAGAGAATATAAATTTTAGTTTGTCCTTTGTTGTGCCATATCCTCCAACTAATATAATTATAGAGAATAGTAATAAACCAATATTTACATATAATACTTGTTTTTGGAAAGCTAGATAAGCCTACAAATCTTATGACACTATCTTTCGCTCCTTTTACTGAGCACGCATTTGGATGCATCCCAAAACATATTTCATGCTTTTCTATTAAAATAAACACAATGTTATTCCTACGTGTCTTTTCTTTTTCTCTGATAAGGCTTATCTCTTGCTTCTCTTCGTTAAGATCTAGATGTGCTTTCGTGAAAATGTCTGTTTTACCCTGCGAAATGCAGCCTCCCACACAACAGACACTCCATGGCCTCCCTTGCATAGTCTCCATAAATCTTTTTCTTCCTTCTGATCCCAACCCATCCTCAACATTGAGCAACCCCTCCCTTCAAATAGCACAAGAGGGAAAAAATATGAAACTAAAGAGATGCACTTGAAATGCCTCCAGGTTTTGTAATAAAGCTTAACGTTCTAAGCATCAACTTTGGCATGCATAAGCACCCTGGATTTACAAGTCTCAGATAATTACAGTTCTAAGCAGTTGAAGTATATCTCACTCTCCATTTTTCCTGCTGTACATTATAATATCCTCAATACATTAAATTAATAGATGACCTGGTACCCTTATCTAACCCTTGGTTTTAAGGGGACAGGAATAATAAAAACTCACTGGGTACCAACTAGAGGGACTTCTGGCCCTGCCACTGCTTCAACTCTTCTTGAGTTGCTTCATTTATAAAGTGGAGATAACAGTATCTGTCCTGTTCATCTCACAGGGTTGTAGCCACATTCCCACATGCTAGTGTATATGTAAACAGGCCCACAAAACTTGAAAGTCATTTTATTTCGGACTCCCTCTTTCCCTATCAGAGACAAGACAAAATTGCTTACCTCTTCCTATAAACTGGCATCTAGAAAAAATTAAAGGGTAAACTTATTATCATAATCATCAATCGTTCCTGTTTTTTCCTTGTATTTTTTTTTTTTTTTTTTTTTTTTTTGGACGGAGTTTCACTCTTGTTACCCAGGCTGGAGTGCAATGGCGCGATCTCGGCTCACCGCAACCTCTGCCTCCTGGGTTCAGGCAATTCTCCTGCCTCAGCCTCCTGAGTAGCTGGGATTACAGGCACGCGCCACCATGCCCAGCTAATGTTTTGTATTTTTAGTAGAGACGGGGTTTCACCATGTTGACCAGGATGGTCTCGATCTCTTGACCTCGTGATCCACCCGCCTCGGCCTCCCAAAGTGCTGGGATTACAGGCTTGAGCCACCGCGCCCGGCCTTTTTCCTTCTATTTTTAAGGCATTGTCCACTTGCTAAGTGAAAAGTAGCTCTTACAAAAGACATTATGATTTCTGTATGTAATTATGATTTACTGGCAAGATTTTTAAAAGAAGACATTAACTACTGCCTGCCTTGGCCTACGTCTGATCTTATCATTCTGTGCATTAATCACCATATTGAAATGCAGTTTTTTCATTTTTCATTTACCTTTGCTGTGCCCAAATTCTTCATCTTTGAGATGCTGATTGTTTTACCCTTCGACAGCCATTTCTGCTTTCTTCCTATGAGTTGATGTCTAGACAGATAACAGTTATTAAAAGTTTTGGAAATGATTGTTATCCTAGGGTAGGCTCGTGCAGGGTTTGTTAAGGAGTAAACATTCTCTGTTTAAGCTTGCTTTTAAAAATAATCTCATTTGCCACTCATTTAAGATGGAAATTGAGTTCTTAGTGAAAATATCACTTGAGAAAAATGGAAATATTGGGTACCTAAGTGTCATGAATGACTGGAGTCTTGCTGAGGAAGGGGCAAAGCAAGCTTCTGTGGACTCCAAAATGGTGATGATAATCAGTTGTCAATGAAACATTTATTAATTGATGATATTAATGATGTACTTATGGCCAAAACATTGGTGGGAAAGGGGATAAATCATTTTTAAATTGATATACCCAATCCCTCTTCCAAAGAAATCAACTAGAGATAGCCTTAAAGTTATCTCCCAACTTTGAAATTTCTCAATTATGTCATGTTTTATCCATAAACTACTATTACCTAACAGCAAATGTTATTAATATGTGCTTATTTAATCTAGAAAAGTGTACATCAGTCTAACTTGGACAACATGGTAAAGGCCAACCATCCAGTCATCTAGGATATTATTTGTCTGCTTTATATGTCTGCCTTCTTATCTGTATGAAAAAACTCTTTGAGAGCCTGAACTATTTTAACATGTCCTTTCCTATGCACCCTCTAAAGTACTTCTACTCAGAGTAGGTGTTCAATAAATGTGAAAGTGATTAATCAGGTAATTGAAGACAACAGAGTGTTGTAAAATCATGGAGGCTAAAGAGTGATAAAAGAGTCATTGACTTAGTGGCCATATAATCATGTTTTCCTCTAGCTTCTTCATTGTTAGGCTTCCTACACCATGTTTGGAGAGAATTTCACTGGCTCTAGGACTTTTGGCACTACTCTGGAGATAAGAATATTCAGAAAACATACTGATCACTTCCCAAACATCCTCAGACCTACTGCTTAATAGTCCCCTGAGAAATGCTTTAGTTTTAATTTCTCACCTTCCCCAGCAATCTCTTTCGTGGATGATGGGAGGAGGATTCTGGGGAAGACTTCAAGAGAAAAGGCTGGAATGAGCTGCTTGAGAGAAACAGAAGAGCTGATCATGCCCAGCTTAGGGAAGACATTGTTGGAAAAGATTTCATTAGTCATTCAATGAAAAAATGAAGACCATGCTCCACCCTTGGTCATATAGTGCCACTGTTATCCTAGAGAGGGGCATAGCTTTCAGCAAGACATTGATCATCCAACACATTCTCTGCCTGATGCCTTCCCATTCTTTCTTACTACTTTTGAAGGGCTTACATTTAAAAGGGCAGCATAATGGAGCTTTTACATAGCTGATTTGTACAGTGCTGCTCTTTGCCATAGTTGTTAGGAGCACAAGAGGTAATGTTAGACACACCTGGGCTCTGTTCCAGCTCTTCCACTTCCTAGCAGTGAGACATTGCACAAGTGACTTTACCTGTTCAAACTTATCCAAGCCTGAATTTTTGTGTTAGTAAAATAATAGTACTCATCTCTCAGGATTGTTTAGAGGAAAAAGTGAGATAACGGTTTTAAATCACTTAGCATAGTAGTCACTTGATTGTTGCTGCTAGTTGTTCCCAACACCACAGTTTCATTATTATAATTATTATTATAAATAATAACCTTCTATCTTTCTGGCCATTATGAAAGATTTTGGGGAACCTCTGTTGGCTACAGCTTACGGTGAACAGTTTACTAGATTCATCTCCTCACGTACTCAGGCTAAGTAGCTTCTATCCAAGGTAACTGTCTTCTGCAAGTACAACCTGTTTAAAAGTTAAGCATTACAACCACAAAGTTATCAGCTATGGAGGTCAAAAATCTTCAATATTTCATTTAAGCTGCATCTCTTTTCACTTCTGAGTCTACTCTTTCAATTATATAGACCAGTGTTTTTCAAAACTTTTGAACAGCAACATACCCTTTTGTATCCAAGTGAAGTCATATACAGAATCACAATATATAAAGTATATGAAAGTAATATTTTACTATTTTATTTTATTTTTGAGACAGAGTTTCACTCTTGTTGCCCAGGCTGGAGTGCAATGGCACAATCTGCAATCTCCACCTCCCGGGTTCAAGCAATTCTCCTACCTTAGACTCCTGAGTAGCTGGGATTACAGGCATGCGGCACCACACCAGGCTAATTTTGTAATTTTAGTGGTAGAGACAGGGTTTCTCCATGTTGGTCAGGCTGGTCTCAAACTCCCGAGACCAGGTGATTCACCTGCCTCGGCCTCCCAAAGTGCTGGGATTACAGGCGTGAGCCACCAAGCACAGCCATATTTTATTACTATGAAATTTTTCATAGGTTCCTATGCATGATATTTATTATTTTTTGTACAAAAAATGAAACTAGGAACTAAAAATGAAAGTTGTAATCTTATATTGGTGAATAGTTCAATTTAGTCTTGCATTTTTTTTTCTACACAGTGTTGAAAAATAAAATTCACATAGATGTAGGTGCAAATGGCTACAGATTTTTTGTTGTTTTAATAAGTGATCCATAAGCTTAAAAGAATAATAACAGAAAAAAATTGTGTGAACTTGTAAAAGCTACTTAGCTTCATTCTTTCTTTTTTTTCTTTTGTTTTCTTTTCTTTTTTTTTTTTTTTTTTTGAAACAGGTTCTTGTTTTGTCACCCAGGCTGAAATGCAGTGGCCTGATGTCTGCTTGTTACAAACTGCAACCTCTGCCTCCCAAGCAATCCTCCCACCTCAACTTCCCTCCCATTTAGCCGAGACTGTAGGCATGTGCTACCACACTTGGCTAAGTTTTTAATTTTTTACAGAGATGAAGTCTCACTGTATTGCCAAGGCTGGTCTTGAACTCCTGGAATCAAGCAATCCTCCCACCTCAGCCTCCCCAAGTGCCATGATTACAGGCACGAGCCACTCCACCTGGCCCACTTAGCTTCTTTAAGCCTTGATTTTCCTGTTTATAAAGTAGAAATCATAATAGTACCGATCTCAGAGGGTTTTGAAGGTTAAATAAGACATTGTATGTAAAGTCTCTGAGGAATTTGGCAGACTTTTCAGAATGCTTGGCAAATAAGCAATCAGTAAATACTAATTGGTACTATCCTGATCACCTCCACCATCAGCAGCAATGTCCATTTGAATTCCGTAGGTCATACAGCAGAAAAATTGGTAAGTAGATTCCTTATCTCATTGCATCTTCATTGTTTGGTGGGAAACACTTTTTCCAATCTATCTTACAATATTGTAAAATGCTTAATCTTAAATGCCCATCTCTATCAGATACTAACTGTAGCTCCTGTAGTACACAATTTAGAAACCACTGGTGTAGAAGTCTGACCAAGTTTCTGCAAAGATTGCTTGGTAGGTTATGAGCTCTTTCAGAGCAGGGGCTATTTTATTTATCTGTGTATTTTTTTCTGGTGCCTGAGACAGCAGATGCTCAAAAAATGTTTCTTAGATTTTATATAGATTCGTGTCTACAGATTTTAAAGAAGCTTACTATTACCCTTAATTACTTTTCCATTTAAAATGAAATTTTCTTTTTGTCTCCCTCTACATTTTCTCCAACATTACTATAAATTTTAAAAATTATCCCCTGGATCAAGGGTCCCAATCTTTTGGTAGTAAAGGGTTCCTCAGTTTCTCAGTTGGAACTTCAAGGTTTTGAAGACCTTAATATCCTCTGAAGAAAAAAAAGCAAGTTAGTAATTTAGCATTAATCTCTCAAGGGAGAGGCAAGAAACATTCAATTTTAGACTTGACAGTTTCTGGTTATAAAAGTCACTTTTAGCAACCGTCTAAAAGTCATTAGCAGTCATAACAAAGTCATTCTATTATACATAATTCGCTCCCAGACTTGAGATTTCTGGTAGTAAAATCACAGACGCCCTAAAACTCTGGCAGTTGGCTGTTAATACAACCTGTCCTTATGTTCTAGAAAGCAAATTTAGATTATCATTGCTTAAAGAATTAGAGAATTTCTACCTTCTTGCTTCCCTTTATTCCTTTCTTTCTTCCTTCCTTCCACAATTATATCACCATCACCCCTATCATTTCTTGCCCTCAAGTATTTAAAATTCTAGCAAGAAAGACAGACACACACACAAAAATTTCCTCCACATTGATTGCATATCATTGAAATACACAAAGTTTTTTATAAAAGCACAGAACAGGGAAGCACCTAAAGCAGCATTAGTGGGATATCCTAAAGGATAGATAGGCGTTATCCCGGAAAAGGGGTGAGGATAGAAAGACTATTTCAGGCAGAGGTTTCTGCATTGAGGATAAAACCAGGGCAAGATACACCTACAATGTACCCACAAAAATTAAAAAGTAAAAAGTAAATAGGGCAAGAACCAGCATGGTGCAAGTGGAAAACTCCAAGTAGTTCAGTGTTAGAGAAGCATGAAGTGCCAGGTAGAAATTGATGAAAAACAAGTCCAGAATAAGCAGGTACTAGATCAAGGAGGAACCTGGATAATATAAAAAGCCTGAAATTTATCATGTAAGTGATAGTGATCTACTAGAAGATTCTGTCTAAGGGTAGATACTGGAAGGTTAGTAAAAATGTTGGGTGACAATTTTCCTAAGCAGTCTGATAAGTAAAGAGTTAACATAGGGTCAGGAGCTATGGCCAGTGTCGTAGAAGTGGAGTGGAAAAAACAGATTCAAAGGCTGGGTGCGGTGGCTCACACCTATAATCCCAGCACTTTGGGAGTCTGAGGTGGGAAGATGGTGTGGGCCCAGGAGTTTGAGACCAACCTAGGCAACATAGTGAGACCTCTTCTCTACAAAAAAGTTAAAATAAAATTAGCTGGGCATTGTGGCATGTGCCTGTAGCACTAACTACTCGAGTCTGAGGTGGGAAGACAAGTTGAGCCCAGGAGGTCGAGGCTGCAGCGATCCAAGATCACCCCACTACACTCCAGCCTGGGCAACACAGCAAGAACCTGTCTCCACAAAATAAAGAGATAAATAGGAGGTAAAATTGGCAGGATTTTATAATTTAGTGCACATGGGGTAAGGGAAAGAGGAATTATTAAGAAATGTCTACCTTAGGTTTCCTGTTTAGTGATGTCAATGACAGTGGAAGAGAAAGAAATTTAGGAGGAATTAGACTTGACATCAGTTTTGGATGTAAGCTTGAGATGCCTGCTCTCCCTTTGTCCATGCAAGTGAAATTAATCATAAGGCAATTGGAAATACGAGTTCTTGGTAGAGGTTTGGGCCAGATATAGAATGATGGGCATATTGATGTTATTTGAAACAAACTGTGGGAATGGATGGGTTTACTGAAGGAGAAAATGTAGCATGAAAAGAACAGAGATCTGAAAATGGAGTCCAGGCATAACATCAACATTTAACAAATATTTCCTGAGTGATTACACTAAATATAGGAAGGCCCTGACCTAAAGGACTTTACAACCTAATTAACGATGATACTGAATTTCTGGCTGGGCACAGTAGCTTACGCCTGTAATACCAGCACTTTGGGAAGCCGAGGCAGGAGGATCACTTGAGGTCAGGAATTCAAGATCAGCTTGGCCAACATGGCGAAACCTCATCTCTACTGAAAATACAAAAACGAGCCCGGCATGGTGCATACCACCTGTAGTCCCAGCTACTCCATAGGCTGAGGCACAAGAATCG